TTTGAGTCCCCCTGGACAGTGTGCTTGTCTCCTACTTGGTCAGAGCCAGCGTGGGTTCGAGTCCCCCTGGATAGTATGTTGTCTAAAGTGTTTAAGTGTGAGTTTGCTTTTGTTAACTTACTTTCTCCTTTCTATTCACATTTTAAGGACTGTCCATTACTCTTCCTTCTTCGATACCTTCACTCATATATATATGAGACACTGTGTAAAACTTGCCAGTTAAACCTACACGGGGTCTGCTTACCTTATTTGTGTTCAAACTGCAGGTTTCAGTGTTTCGCCCAGTGTCTCTATGAGGACTGGTCAAGACCCCAGTCCCTCAACCCTAAACACTATTTTGAGTGGATCACAGACCAATTCCTTCAGGGGACTCTCTCTGATTTCGACCCAGATCAAATCGCAGTCTCCGCTTTCCTTTTCTACATTTTACTCTAACCCTGTCCATCTACCTTGATCTTATCCCAACCCCCCCCCGCCCCCGCAAATCTCATGTTTCCTCTATATGACCTAACAAAAGAAATTCCACTTGCCCAGTCCTAGAAGCAGGTTGCGAGATCCGTAAAAAAGAGAGTCCAACAAATAATAATAAAATGGGGATTCCCTGTCCAGCCCTGCTTGAGAAAATCCTGTATCAATGTTATATCTCATAAAATGTCTCTCATTTGTAAAATGTAATCATTTGGTTGTTTAAATTGTTAGAGAAAATGAGTCTTTGTCAAAGGATAAGATTCTTGCTTTTTAAACCTTCTAATTATCAGTTTGGCTGAGTAAATGGGTGACTTCATAGTGAACTGAGATTCTGTTTTGTAGAGAATTTTAAGAGTAAGAAAAATTAGGAAGAAGAATGGCATGATGTAAAGAAAGAATCTTGTATGATAAATTTTGTCCTGAAACAGAATACTTGTATAAGAAAGTAAAAGGCAGGATAAAAGTTAAAGAAGGTTTAGAATGTTTATTGTCTGTGCAGGTTAAATGAAAAAAAGAATTTGTGAAAGAATTTACATGTGATTCAGTTGACTATGTATTTCCTTTAAAATTTTCCAGCATATAATCTTATTTGAACCAATGTTTTAGGCCTTTTGATATTTGACAAAACTTCCAAAATCAAAAGTCTAAATTTGGGCTTGGTGCCCATAGTGCAGTGGTTGCAGTGCCGGCCATATGCACCGAGGTTGGCAGGTTTGAACTCGGTCCAGAAAACAAAAAGCACAACTCTAAATTTGGTCTTTTTGAAATATTAAGACCACTGAAAGGCATAAAAAAAAAAATTGAACTCATTTGATTTATTAAAAAAATAGGAAACATTGTCAAATATAAAATGGTGATTAATTTTGTATGAGTTATAGTTATATATATATGTGTTCCAATATTGTAAAATATTGGTCTATTCTAACATATATTGTCAGTAATAATTTTAATTCATCTAAAAAAAAAAGAAATATTAAGAGAGTCTGACGAATTCTCTCGATTTCAAATTCCTGATGTCTTTGGAAATTGAATACCTTCGGGCTAAAAGCAGATTTTAGAACTTTTATTGGAAAGTTAACATGTCTATGAATGTTGCTAACCTAACTTCAAACAGAACAGAAATCAGTTACATGGAACTAGGCTAGTTTATTATGGCTTTGTGTTTGAAATATTATTGGTTCTTTCTATATTCTGTTTTCCAAAAGTCAAGAAAATAATTCTCTGCCTTTTGAACTATTTATAGCTTTTCAAACAATGTATGTACTTATAAGCAGAGTTTGAAACATGTATTTTTCTCTCTGCTT